GCGTTGCTTTCACAATTTCTGCGAAGTTTTCCAAAAAGGCATTATCGATTATGTAACTTTTTTCACATAAGGCACATTGAGTAAACCTGGTAAATCCAGAAAGGGATGGGGAAATCGATCTTTTTAATTTTACTACATCTTTGTCTATACTGTATTGCAACACATATATTTTAATTATAGAGCATCATATAAATATTTACTACAAATATTTGTGCATATACCGTAATTTATAAATTTAGTTATAATTGCTTTATCATTTGAATATATTTTTTGTCAGAACAGAGCTGTAGACATAACCTAATTAACAAAGCTAGTCCTTATTGTACAAACGTTGGTCAAATCAGACTGATTTCAGAAAACCCTAACAAGGGCCAAAGTATCCCATTCTGATGTCATTTCTTAAGAGGAATATGTATGAGAGCGGGAAAGAAGTAATTCCTAGGATAGGTATTTATCACTAAAGAAACTTCTGTTTCTTTATTTCAAAATTCCCCTTGGTTTCTCAATGGTTTTACAACTTGGGTTATTGTATGAGAGTAAGAGTCTACATGAGTATAGGACAAGCCTTTCTTTGACAGAGTGGGAGAGAGCTACTATGAAAGGCGAGAAAGGGGAAATACAGGAAGCCAGCAAAGAGCATAGAAGGAAATGAGAATATGATGATTAAATAAGGGTTTCAGCAAACCCTTTATGGAAGAAAGACTCTGAGGCCCCCAACCTGAAGGATGTGGCCTTCTAGACCTTGCCACCCTGATTTCTCTTTTAGGAACAGTCCTAACGACGTCCCGCAGAGCCTCCCTATTATCTCCAAACCCAAATCCAAACCCTTTGAGATAGTGAAATTCCCTCCCAATATGGCCAGCCCACCTCTTAAGCCTACTTCCTGGACACTCTGGTTTTCCTCCACCTTCCCCGGTCCCCTGCCCCGACTATATAGAAGCCTTCATCAGTCCCCAAGCTCTCTCACACACATCCCCTTTCACCTCTCAGTGCCTTGGAGCCCAGTCCCCCCTGGGTCTTATACCTCCACATCGCCTTCTTTCCATTTCTCAAAGGCACCATGGTCATTCCCACTTTGGAAGCCTCCCATGGTCTGTAGAATGGCTTTCTTCACTCTACCCCACCACTCCTCAGAGACATCTTCCCTGACCCTCCTCAATCCTGGGTCTGCCCACACACTAGATTACGCCCCTGTGCTTCTCTTAGGTAGTTCTAATTGCAATGCAGTTAAATAATCAGTTGTCTAATATAGACTACATGAGGACAAGGACAGGTCATGGCACACTTATAGTAGTGCATGTGCATGGCACATCCTAGGCACGGAATCAATGAATAAATATCCGAAACGCCTCCCTCCTCTCTATTTCCATTGTTCTTATACCCATCTCAAATATATTGTAATATTTTAAGTATCTGTATTCTGTACTAGCCTGGGAACCAAGCATTGGATCAAGAACCAACTCCCCAGCTCCTGATAATAGATGCTGTTTATTGAATACCTGTCCTGAGTCAGGCACTGTTCTAGACTTTATATATTACGTAGTTTGACATGGTAGTTTAGAGCAGGGGCTGTGTTCCAGTCCTGTCTCAGCCACTTACCATCTACCTCTTATCCTCTGTGCCTCAGTCTCCTCACTGTAAAGTTAGATAATAATAGTGCCTATCTTGTAAGTTTGCTTGTCGTTAGGATTAATGTGTATAAAATACTTAGAATAGTAATGGGCACATAGTAAGTGTTCAGTAAATGTTTGTCATTATCATTGTCATCATTATTTCTAATCTTTACAAGCCTGGTCTGTCAGTTTCCAAAAGCTGAGCTCTCTCAAGTAGACCTGACCACCTCCCACTAGCACAGGCCTAGCACATAGAAGGTTCTCGTGATTATTGAACCGATTATTGGCTGATGGATGTTTTTAACTCTGATAGCTAATATTTACTGATGTCTCTGAGAAGTCCTGTGGTAAAGAAATCTGTTTCCATGAGCCCGAGAACTGTGTTTCATTATTTCCATGAGATGATCTTATTTTATTCTTGCATCCACCTTGAAAGTAAGTACTCTTAATAACTCCATTTGATAGTTGAGAAAAGAGTTGCTCAGAGATATACTGAAGTCATGCTGTCATGGATTACGGAGGTTGGATTTAAGCTAAGGTCTACCTGACTCCAGAGCCTGACCTCTGAATAACCACCCTCCCACCCACTTATTGTGCTGGAGCAGTTCCTTAGGAGACATGGTGTCCTTCCAAAGTTAACAAGAAATTTTGTCCGCTGCAAGTTGCCTTCTGAAGTCCTCTTCCATCCGCAAATATTGGTTGAGTGTGTTGGATGCCATGTGGGAGTTGGAACAGGAAGCCGGACATATTAAAAGAACTCAGGCTGGAAGTCCAAGAGCCTGGATATTAGTTACAGCTCTTCTACAGCCTTTGCCATATGACATTGAGCCAAGTAGTTCAGACCTTGTGCCAGAATGAGTTCCTCCTTTGAAATTCTACCACTTTAGTAGCACTTCTCTCTAATGACATGTATCACACTCTTCCTTTATTGCCATTTACCTGTGCTCAGATCAAGCCATTTATTTAGGAAACATCAATATAATATCTTCTCTTGATCATCAAAGACAAGAGAGAGATGGAGAACCCAACTGAATATCATTTTTAAATGAAAGGAATGCAGAATTCTGCCCACTCATATCAGGTGACTGCATTTTAAAAGAAATTTGCAACAATAATAACATACAGGGAAGGAAGAAAGATGGAGGAACAAAATTTTGTATACTACTAAAATTAAATTGGTATTAATCCAAACTAGATTGTTATACATTGAGATGGTAATTGTGATCCTATAGCACAATCACTAAGACAATAACTCAAAAATATATAGTAAAAGACATGACAAGGGAATCAAAAGCTTACACTAGAATATACATTTAACATAAAAGAAGGCAGTAACGGAGAAACTGGGGAACAAAAAGAGACATGAGACATAGAAAACATAGCAAAATGGTAGAAATCCTTCCAATTAGAAATTAAATTAAATGGAAATGGATTAAACGCTCCAATTAAAAAGGAGAGATTAGCAGAGTAGATTTTTTAAAAAAACATCACGCCCATATATGTTATTTACAAGAGACTCAAAGACAAAAATAGGTTGAAAGTAAAACAGTGGGAAAAGATATTCCATGCAAATAGTAACCAAAAGAGACCTGGAGCGGCTATGCTAACATCAGACAAAATAGACTTTAAGACAAATGTTACAAGAGACAAAGAAGGACTTTATATAATGATAAAAGAGTCCATCAAAAGATAAAACAGTTATAAGATGTATGCACCTAACAGAGCCTCAAAATACATGAAACAAAAATTGATGGAATAGAAAGAAGTAGTTCATCAGTAATAGTTAGAGACTTCAATACCCTACTTTCAACAATGGATTGAACAACCAGCAGAAGATCACAAGGAAATAGAAGGCTTGAACAACACAATAATCCAACTGGACCTAACAGACATCTATGGAACATCCCACCCATGGTTCTGTCGAAAATACTATTGTTCTCAAGCACATGTGGAACATTCTCTAGGATAGAGCATGTATTAGGCTACAACACGAATGTCAATAAATTTAAAAGATTGAAATCATACAAAATATGTCCACTTGTCACAATAGAATGAAATGAGAAATCAATAACGAAAAGAAATTCACAAATATGTGGAAATTAAACAACAAGCTCCTAAATAGTCAATGGGTCTATGAAGATATCACAAGGGAAATGAGAAAATACCTGAGACAAGCTCATCCTCAAGTTCATGTAGAAATGCAAGGCAGCCAAGTAGCCAAAACAATCTTGGAAAAAAGAGAACAAAGTTGGAGGATTTCAACTTCTTGATTTCAAAAATTACTACAGAGCTACAGTAATCAAAACAATGTGGTACAGATAAGGATAGACATATAAATCAGTAGAGTCCAGATATAAACCTATACATCTATAATTGACCTATACATCTAAATCAATTGATTTTTGACAAGGTTGCCAAAACCGCTCAATGGGGAATGGAATAGTCTTTTCGACAAAAGATGCAAGGACAACTGGATATCTACATGTAAAAGAATGAAGTTGGTTTCTTTCCTCACCTCATGTACAAAAATTAATTGACATTTATTAGAAATGATGAATTAAATGTGCCTTATGGGAATATGTTTATAATATCTTAAGTTAAAAAAAAATACAGGTTATAGAACAGATTCTAATCTTATTTTTAGAAAATAAATTAACATGGCCAGTTATATCTAAATTTATGGACAGAAAAAGTGTTTACAAGAACAAGAACCAGAATGATTACAGTGATTATCTCCGGGTTTTAGAATTATAGACAGCTTTTCTATATTGTTGTTATTCTTTTTATTTAACTATATTTCCTAATTATTCTACAATGAATATATGTTTGGTAATCATTTTTTAAAGTTAAAAACAATGCCATGCCAAGAATCTGAACCTTATCCTTAAGATAATGGAGATTAAATTTTTATAAATTAAATAATTTAAAATGCCCTAAGCAACTTAGCCAGATAAAAGAGTCTCACTGTGACCCCTCTGGGAACGTGGGAACATGAAGATTCCATTGATAAAATGGCAAATAGCATCCCTGCCTGTGTTTCTCTTGTAAATTCTGATTTCTGAATGTTGCTTTCTTGCTCCAGACCATGGCGAGTCAGTACATTGAGGAGAATAGCAGAGTAGGCCTTATCAGGTCATTGTGACCTGTAGACAAAAGACGATGCTTTCTGGAAGTGTCTCATTTGGGGCAGTGTTTTGTGTATCATCAGCAAGGCAGTCAGAGTAACCTTAGGTAGTAAAATTCCAGTAGAGGGTCTGGGGTATGGCTTTGTGATGGATGTGTTTCTGGTTTTGTTTTGGGACAGCAAACAGTTGGGTTTCAAATATTTCTGGGGAACCCCTTAGCTTAGACCCAGCTCATATCTGCCCCTGTGAACTTTCCTTCCAGGAAAACTTGATCGGCGCTCTCTTGGCCATATTCGGGCACCTTGTAGTCAGCATTGCACTTAACCTCCAGGTAAGTTTCAGTCACCAGCACTGTCTAGGGCAGAGATGGAGCCGATAAGCCAGGGAGGGAGTCTGCTGTCGGCCCAGCTGCCTCCTCTCTGTGGGACTTTGCCCACTCTGTCCCTGGGTCGGGCTTAGGACAATACCTTGTGGATTATTCCAGAATCTCTCTTGATTCTTTGCCCCCTTGTTTCCCCCCATCACCCCTCAGCTCTGATGACAGCCCTCTCCATTACTTATAAGTCTCTGGCTGCCCCCCCAGATCCCCTTGGCCCATTTGGTTCTAAGGTGAGTTCATAGGGTTTCTCAGAGGGTCCCCAGTGGGACCGAGCCCCAAATTCCCAAGGCACTAACTCACCCGTTAATACACTCCCCATTGGTTCTTCTCCCTTCCCGGCCTCACTTTCCCACTCCCTTACTCGTGCTTCCTGGAATCACCTCCCAAATCAACTCTTTGCTCCTAAGGCCTTGTCTCAGGGACTGCTTCTGGGAAACCCAGACTAAGACTTGACACCTGCGAACAGAATCATCCCATAGCACAGTGGCCACCTTCTCTGTCCCAGTGGCACCCAGCTTCTAGCTGCAATGAACTGTTCCCTGGAGCAGGCACATAAATGCGCATGTGTACCTGGTACATCTCAGCTCCCAGGCGCACACATGTGGGTGTGTTTCTGAGGCTGCATGGTCTCTTAGCTACTTGTCTGGCTCATGCTCTTCCTTCTACAGAGCAGCATCTCTGCATCTGTATCTGCTGCTCTGTAGCTCCCACCATGATCTTCCCCGAAAGGCAGCCTTGGCCCTCTCAGTCAGCATGAGTTCCTAGCTTTCCTCAGTCACTGCCTCAGTTTTTATGTCCCAAGTTCACGAATTCCCCAAAAATATTCGCCCTACTGGGCCAAGTATCTACCACCCAAAGGAGGGCAGCAGCACTGCCGGCACGTCTATAGAAGGGAATATAGTCGAGTGAGTACCCCGACTCGGGCATTGCTGTTAGAGGGCAAAGGTCAACCTGAGGCCATGCTTTAAAGTGGGGTCCTTAGATCATGGCTCCCACCCAGACTGCACACTGCCTGTGACATGCATTAAAAATGCATATTTTCAGGCCTCCCACCTACCCTCTGAGGATGAGGCCTAGGCATGTATATTTTTTCAAAGCTTCCCAGGGAATTTTTAAGGCTTCCCAGCCAGTTTGAGAACTACGCTCTGAGAATGATTATCTAGTATTTAGATCGCTACTGCTTTACTCTTCTCTGAGTACGGACCCCAAAAACACCTGACGAATCTTTAAAGCACAGTGATGTAGAATGTTGGAGGCTAAACCGTTGTGAGAGTTGCTTCCATTCTGTAAGCGTCTGTTGAGAAACGGTGCTCCGAGGTCAAACTTTCGGCTGACATACGGATATTTGGACTGGGGTGCAGTACTGTCCTAAGAAGGGACTTGAGAACTGTAGATTGCTTCGGAATCTTGGAATTCTCAAACACGGAGAAAGTGTGAACTTACCTGGACACCTGGCACTCTCACTGTGAAATTTCGTACGAAGCGGGTTCTGGCCGTAAGTTGTTGGTGGAGAGCGGACATGCTAAAAAGACAGTCTGAGAGTGCGGCCATTACCAGTGTGGCATGGTGCATCATTTCTTCAGTTCTCTTTATGCCATCAAGCACATAGAAATGCTATAGAGTAGAGCACATGCAAAGAAAACCCATTTTGGAATGCACGATTCCTTTCATCCAGAAGACCACTCCGTGATTTGGTGCAAGCATTGCTGTATGCTGTGAGTGAGTCGGCACCTTAACAATGCACGAAAAGGAAGTGCACCTCTTGCCTGTCATTGCAGTAGTACAGATTTGATCTCAGGTACATCTCGGCCCTGTTGTTTTGGACGAGAGTCATGCTCAAGCCCAGAGAGACAGAACGGCAAATAGGTTTTTTTTGTCGTGTCCCTTGTTCGTTCCCAAAGAGCTAGTGGGAAGGTCCTGAAATCCATGGTCTTGCGTTTGCTATCAGCTTAGAATGCACAAAAAGCAAATAATACAGTGGAAGTACGCCT